CGGGTAGAGGCGAAGTCAGCGACAGCAGCGACAAGCGCGTCAAGGCGCGAGACAGGAACAGAAGGGTCGGTAACAAGAGAGGCAAGGACCCGAGGGACAAGGGGACGAGCAGCACGGAGGTAGTCAGAGAACGGAGGAGGTGCAACAACAAGGGACGAGGGAGGAGGGGACGGGAGGAGGGGAGGACGAGACGAGCGGGAACGGAGCAACATAGGGTGGGTGGGCAGGATAGGAGAGACGGGACGAGCACGGGAGGGACGACGAGCCCAAACGTGAGACGGAGATGTAGGGTCAGGGGACAGCGGAGGAGACACAGGAGGGGAACGAGGAGGAAGACGGGCCGGAGACGAGTCCGGCGGCGGGAACACAGGACCGTAGACAGGAAGGTCAGCAGGCGGTGGGGGAGACACCGTCGCGCAGTCGGAGGAGGGAAGGCCGAGCAGGCGGAGAGCGGAGACCGGCGGCTGCGGCGGCGACGATGGCTGGACCGGAACTCTCGGACCAGCAGAGGCAGAACGACCGTCGGCAGAACACTCAACAGCAGCACCCCCAGAACCAACACCCCCAGAGCGAGAACCCCCTCCAACACCAGCGGCACCCCTAGAAACCACAGGACGAACACCCTCCTCCACACCAGCACCCCCAGGGGCCAAGAGCGGCAACAGCAGTGGCGGCGACGACTGCGGCGACGACGGCTGCGGCGGCGACAGCGGCGGCGGCTGCAGCGGGGTCGGCGACTGCGACAGCGGGGGTGGCGGCACCGGGGAAGGGGGACGCGGCAAGGACAGACCGGGGGTACCACCAGAGTCAGCAGACTCCTCAACGGGGACAACCGACGGGAGGGGAGTGACGTGAGAGACACCAGACGGGGCAGGAAGAGGCGGGAGAGGGGCAGGGGCTACCGGGGGAGAGGGAGCAAGGAACAGGGGGGGGGCAACTGGGAGACCTCGGTGAGGGAAGCGGCGGTAGAAGGAGACTGACTCGTCAAAGGTAACGTCACGAGAGTGGAGGAAGCGGTGAGACGGCGGGTGATAGAAAAGTCAGTCAGACGAGTCCAGGGGGAAACCGAGGAAGACACAGGGGACAGTGCGGGCAGTGAGCTTGTCCACGCCAGAGGCACGAACGTGACCAAGGCAGCCTTAGACGTGGAACGCAGACGCGTCACCGGGGGACCCGGTCCAAAGGAGGGTAGGCGAAACCTGCGGCCGCTGGGAGCGTGGCCATAGGTTAAGCTGGTGAGCAGCGTAGCGAACAGCGAACGGCCACAGAAAATGGGGGGCATCGGCATGGATCATGGAGGTGCGAGCGACCTCCATGACCAAGCCGATGCGGCGCTCAGCAACCCCATTATGCTGTGGCAAGTCCGGCAAGGTGTACGACTGGGTGATGCCCTCCGCACGACAGAACTGTCCAAGCCGACCAGAGGCGAACTCGCCGCCACGGTCGGAGTGGAGACACAATACGGGGAGACCACGGTGGAGACGCGCAGCCACAACCCACGGGAGAAGAACGTTGGGCACGTCGGCCTTCCGCTCCAGGGGAAACACCGTGGTGTAGCGCGTGTAGTCGTCGACGAGCACAAGGAAGTAGCGCTCACCGCGCGGTCCGGGGACGGGGGCAGGGCCCCAAACGTCCAGGTGCAGGGTCTGAAGGGGGGCAGTAGCTGGGCGCAGCGAGGAGGAGTGTGGGGCACGGCAGAGCCGGCCCTCGATGCAAGGCGTGCACGGTGGCGCAGTCGAGGGAGGAAGGGCGGGGAGCGACGCAGGGAGACCTAAGACAAGGCCGTGCTGGGACATGTGACGCAGAGGAGGGAGAGCAGGGTGACCTAAGCCGTGGTGCCAGAGAAGGGACGGATGAGTGAGGGAACGACACGAGCAAGCTGCAGCAACCTGGGAGGACGTTCCAACCGGAGGGGAAGCGGTGTCTAGGGTAAACAGACCGGACACCGGATCCCGGGGGAACGTCGCAAGGGGGGAACCTGAGACAGCCTCAGAACAGACAGCGAACCGCTCGTGCCCGGGGAACGTGGTGGTGACGCCGAGGTCCTGGAGACAACCGACACCAACCAGGTTCCTCGAGAATGAGGGAACGTGGAGGCCTGTAAGGGAGCCCGAGGGAACTGCTGGACAGGGAAGGGACGTAGAACTGCGAGCGACGACAGGACCCCCAGAGGGGTCAGCGAGAGAGAGGACACCTGGCGTAGCAAGCGGCGTGAGCGCGGAACGGTCGCGGAAGAAGCAGGCAGAAGCACCGGAGTCGAGAGTGAAGGACAGCGTGGCAGTGGCGGGGGCAGGGAACGGAGCCGGTGCAGAGACGAGGCTAGACAAACTAGGCAATCCTATGCCTGACGCAGCAGGGGAGGTTAGGCTACACAACGGTGCAACACCTAAACTAGAGAACACAGGATAATAAGATCCAGCAACAGTAGCAGCGTCAGAATACAAGGCATGCAAAGCAGCACCTATCTGATCCATGTCTAACTCAAAGATCGGCACGCCCTGGCGGAGCAGGCTGTGCCAGTCGGGGAGGTCCGGGGCCGGGCCAAAGCGACGACGAAAGAGATCGTCGAGGCGGCGGAGACAGCGGGCAGTCGGGTGCGGGCGGCGGCACAGAGTGCCGCGAAGGGGCCCGGTCTGAAGCTGGTACTGACAGGTAACCGCACCGGAGCCGCTGGTAGACGCCAAGCTGCGCGGGCCGCCACCACTGCCACCACCCCCTGAGGTGCCGGGCCAACCAGGCGGGAGGCGAGCCCACTGCTGCGGGGGCTGCGGCTGGGACGGCGGCTGCTGCTGGGACGGCGGCTGCGGCGCGGGCTGCTCCTGCTGCGGCTGGGGCTGCTGCTCCTGACCACCAATGCTAGTCCCCCCAGACGGACTACTCTCACGACCACCAACACCACTACCTGCGCCACCACCCCTACCACCCTGGCGACCACGGCCACCGCGGCGCGAGCGCTGCTGCGGGTGGACCGCAGCAGCCATCTCAGTGAGAGGGGTTGCCGTGGCGACCGCAGCCGAAACGTCAGTGAACGTGCACTGGGAGGGGGCACAGCCGTGAAAGATAGAGACTGCCGGCGCACCGCTCGACTGAGCGATAGTGCGCTGGCGAGTCTCGATCTCGGTGAGGGTGTCGACAAAGGCAGTGAGAGTGAGGTCAGCCGGGTGAAGGCTAAGGAAGTGATCGCGAGCACTAGCGAGGCGGTCAGGCAGGCGCATGGCGATAAAATAGAGCGTCATGCAGAAAGGGGGGGGGAGCGCAGTGAGCTGGGCAGCAGTGCTGGCAGTGCTGGGCAGTAGGGCACGCAGGTGAGTGGCAAAGTCTGCGACGGTAGGGAAAGCTGCAAGGTCTGGGAAAAGCATGGGGAAGAGCAGGCGACCAACAGAAGCAGACGCGGGTGTGGAATAGCGGGCAATAACAGCGTCTAAGTAAGCTTTGGCCGTCTCAATAGTAGCAAAACGCGAGCGCTCAGAGACACGGAGGGCATGGCTAATGGCAACCTGAGCGACTGCATCGCGGGAGTCCCAGACCGCACGGGCAAGCGCAGCAGTAGAGAAGGTCTTACGGTCATCAGAGGAGGGATCAGCAGGGAGGGGAGCAGGTGCGGGGGGGCGGGGGAGCAAGCTGTCAACATGGACAACCAAAGAGTGGCCATCCTGGCGCTGACCTGTAAGGTGGCGGCGGAGATCGGAGAGCCAGGCGGCGAAGTCAACCGCATGGCCCTCGGCGTCCAGTCGGAGCACGAAGTCTGCCATCGTGCAGGGTCAGCAGCACAGCTCCACAGGAACACAGCGACACAGGAACACAGCGACAGCCCCCTCCAGCACAGCGGCCGCGAAGCGCCTCACCACGGGTGAGCGGAGGAGACGGAGCCCGAGGCGGCACGGCAGGACGATCCGGGGCGAAGGGGCCAGGCAGGTGCGGTGGGGCCAGGCAGGCGCGGCAGGGCCAGGCAGGCGCGGCGGGCCAGTCAGGGGCGGCGGGGCCAGGAGGCGTGGCAGGGCCAGGCGGCCGCGGCGGGGACAGGCAGGCGCGGCGGGGCCAGGCAAGCGCGGCAGGGCCTGGCAGGCGCGGCGGGCCAGTCAGGGGCGGCAGGGCTAGGAGGCGCGGCAGAGCCAGGGAGGCGCGGCGGGGCCAGGCAGTGCGGCGGGGCCAGGCAGGCGCGGCGGGGCCAGAAGGCGCGGCGGGGCCAGGCAGGCGCGGCGGGGCCAGGCAGGCGCGGCGGGGCTTGGCAGGGGCGGCGGGGCCAGGAGGCGCAGCAGGGCCAGGCAGGCGCGACGGGCCAGTCAGGGGCGGCGGGGCCAGGAGGCGCGGCTGGGCCAGGCAGGCACGGCGGGGCCAGGCAGCGCGGTGGGGCCAGGCAGGCGCGACGGGGCCAGGCAGGCACGGCAGGGCCAGGCAGGCGCGGGGAGGGGGGGGGGAGGGGGGGGGCCAGGCAGGCGCGACGGGGCCAGGCAGGCGCGGCGGGTGCTAGGAGGCACGAGGGGCCCAGGAGGGGCGCGACGGGCTAGGAAGCGCGCCAGGGGCCCAGGAGGGGCGCGACGGGCTAGGAGGCGTGACAGGGGCCCAGGAGGGGCGTGACGGGCTAGGAGGCGCGAGAGGGGCCCAGGAGGGGCGTGACGGGCTAGGAGGCGCGATAGGGGCCCAGGAGGGGCGCGACGGGCTAGGAGGCGCGGCAGGGGCCCAGGAGGGGCGCGACGGGCTAGGGAGCACGACAGGGGCCCGGGAGGGGCGCGACAGGTTAGCAGGCGCGGCAGGGGCCCAGGAGGGGCGTGACGGGCTAGGAGGCGCGAGAGGGGCCCATGAGGGGCGTGACAGGCTAGGAGGCGCGATAGGGGCCCAGGAGGGGCGCGACGGGGCCTAGGTGGGGGCGGCGCGACGGGGCCTAGATGAAAGCGCGACGGGGCCTAGGTGAAAGCGCGACGGGGCCTAGGAGGAACGGGCGGAAGTGGTAGGTGGAGGGGGGGGGGGGGTCGAACCTACGGGTGATACCATGTCGAGAAGAAAAACTGAACAAGTGTTGAATAGAGAGAGAGAACAAGGGTATATACCTATGAGTGTTGTACCCTCTAAGCGGTGACCCTATACAGTCTATACAAATATGAGTTATACATATATTTGACAAAAAAAGCGTATGCGAAGGGAAGCTGGATGAGCTACACCCACACCACCAGCATCAAAAGAACAAGCAAGACAAGTCGATACAAACGAGCTTTGATCATCTTGATGCTGGTTCCTGTTGCACCTGCAGAACGAGAAGTGGTGAGGAAAACCGCAAAATCAAAAGAGATCAGTCAATTCATTGTGCCGGTCTAGCATCAAAATGAAAGAAACGCTTCGCATCAGACTGTTGCTCAAGGATTGCAGTGCGGAAGGGTGGCGCCACAACCCAGCAACAGCTCATGTTGCAGCGAGAGAACAGAGCACGGCTGCAAAGACAGGAGGGGATCCTCACCCCACGTACCCTTTGTTTGTGGCGTGGAGGAAGAGTCACCTGCACAGGGCAAATGCCGTGCAACAGAGAAACGAGGGTGGCATTACTCCCATGAGTGCTTGCTGCTTCAGTTGCAAGATTCAACCAACGGGCTGCAAGATTCAACCAACGGGCTGCATAGCACACCCTTGGGGCACAGCGAGCAAGCTTACAGTCTCCTCACACAGCATGCTGGGGAGCAAGCATACAAAGCATATCTCGCAAAAATAAGCGCAGTCCAGGTGAGATCATGCATCAGTCGTTGGACCACTGCCATCCTACCCGCACTGCTCCTCCGCACTCCCTCACCTCACCTCCCTCTCGTCGCCTCACCTCAGCCTCCTCTCCTGTGCTCCGGCCACGTTTCACTGCTTTCTACTTCGCCCATCTTTCCAACCCCCCCCCTCTTCTCTATGCCAGGGCAGATTTGCTTCTCAGCAAACCCAGCAGGCAGGGCGCACGCATACCTGCAGAGGCTCGGCCTTCAGCAGGAGGCAGCACGCTCTCTGCAGCACGGAACAAGGAGGGGGGGGTGGGAGGGGGAAGGGGCGAAGAGCGACGTGGCACGTCGAACTGAAGGAGCACCCATGGCCATGGCTGTGGCTGCTCTCACCGGTCCAGGGCAGTGGACGGGCGCACCTACCTTAAGACCACAGAACATGGACCTCCCTCCTGACCCACGCCTGTGCCTGACAAACGGGGCTGCTGTGAGCGGCAGGTGAGCGGCAGGCCTACCCCTCTAGAAAGGGCGCTCACGTTCAACAGCCATTCAACGGGTGTCACAGTGGCAGGCTGTAACAGTCACAAACAGGCCACAAGAGACGCACGAGCCCCTCACCTGGCCCACGGCCGCGGCTGGGAGCAGAGCTGTCGGCAGCGGCAGGGGGGATGGCTGGGCCTCCCACTGATGCCACGATGATGGGATGGGGGGATGGGGGAGAGGGGATGGGAGGGAGGGGGAGACCGAGAGGGGAGAGGCAAGAGGAAAGGAGGGGGAAAAGGGAGGGCATGCGACACAGACAAATGAATCACTCAATAGAACCGAGTTCCTGTAACCTCGCTTAACGCGTCTTGGTGGTAACCGTGCATGTGGAATGACAGATGTAAGAGTTGCAAGGCAAAAGCAGGTCACTGGAGGCGTATCGGGGGATGGTGCGGCCGGTGAGGGGGGTAAGCATAGCGCTAAGGCAGGTGAGGTGGAGGAAGCACCTTTTGGAAGTGACGTTCGGAACAGCTCCTGGCCAGTGGAGCCTGCATGCAAGCCATGGTTGGGCAGAGGAGGGATGGGATGGGTGGGTTGAGATTCGGCGATGAAGAAGACATGCATTTTCGTGTAGCAAAAAGAAAGATTTGCATTAGAGATTCGAGAAAGTATGTGTGGAACGCAAATGAGCATAGCAGGGCATGGAATGGCATGGCATGGCATGGCAGGCGCAGGTGGCATGACGGACAGTTGAGGGGATGCCAGCCGAACAGCCCTCTTTCTTCGTCCATGAGGATGTAGAAATTCTGCAGCCACGACTCTGGCGTGAACGGGAGGAAGGGGAAGGGGGAGGGCGAGGGGGAATTGTGATGGGAGTGATGATAGGAGCACAGGGAACGGAATTTGAATTCTGAACAGCCGTCAGTCATTCATGAGAATGAAGAAGTTGTGCAGCCATGAGTGTGGTGCGGAGGAGGGGCGCATGTGCAGAGGGAAAAAAGACAGAGGGAAGAGTGAGAGGGAGCACGGCTGATGCAGACAGTCAACAGCCCTCGCTGCTCGCCCAGGAGAATGTGGAGGCTCTACGGCCACGACTCCGGTGGAGGGGAGAGCAGCAGACACAGTGGAAGATGAAAAAAGCAAGGTAACAAAGTAACAGGGTAACATGACTGTGAATGATAGTGGCGTAGCTAGAGCACATACCTCCAATGATGGCAGCGACGCGGGAGGAGGAGATGGGGAGAGCAGCGAGGCACAGCAGTACCATGCGGGTGCGCGGCATGAAGCCCTGAGGGGGGAGGAACGGGGGGATGAGACAGCGAGGTCGACAAAAGCACACAATATTGTGCTTTTCCAGATCTCTTCCAGACGCGCGACGTAGGTGGGAGAACATGCCTACTCCGCGGTCACATAGTCACTATGTGTGAGAATTGAATGGGTGCAGCCGACTCACCCCCAGAAACAGGTAGTTGGTGGGAGGAACGGCCCAAGTCGCATTGCCGAAGCTGATGAGGAGGTCCGGGAAGACCTCGTCAAAGAGGGTGGCATTACTGGCAGGTTCGGATGGAAAGAGAGAAGCAGGCGTGGAAGGAGTGGGAGATGAGGAGGTGGGAGAGATGAGGAGGTGGGGGGGAGGGTTCGGGGCAGGCTAGTGGTGCTGGAATAATCACAAGGTGAACAAAGAGAATTGTGAGAAATGCTACTGCAGGTGCTCCAAAAATAAATACTTAACGCTTCCTTGCACACTGGTACCTGGGAAAGAGGGTGCAGTCTCCGAGGGTGGGGTCGGCGAAGGCAGAAAGAAGTGGGTCGGAGAACACCTGCAACATCAAGGGATGGGGGCGAGCAGCACAGAGAGGAAGGGAGGAGAGTGGGAGAGAAGAGTGCGAGGAGAAGTGGGACGTGGGAGAGTGGAGAGAAATGTACAGGAGTTGTGTTGTGGCTTGAATGGGATGAGAAGGCGACGGATGTGAGAGAGTGACGAGTGCACGCAAGACAGCCATCCATCTTCCCTTTGAGCAAACAACTCATCATCGAATTGCGCCTGACCTCTTTTGACCGCACTACACCTCACCACATCTCTCAGTGAGTTGTAGACAGCCGGCGGCAGAGCAGTGAAGGTGGTGCCGCTGTCAATGATGGTGCCGCCAGCCAGGCTGGATCTGTTCACTGCTGAGAGCGAATCAGCGTCTGCCACCTGGCGCCCTCCAATGCTCATGCTGCTGATGTTGATGTAGTGGTATGGGCTGTGGCATCAAACGTGTAGGGAGGGAAGAGAGGAAGAGAGGGATGTGAGGAAGAGTGAGGAAAGTAAGTTGGAGCTAATGCTGGTGCCTTTGCAGGCAGGCAAGTGGCAGAGGATCAAGCTGTCAAGGAGCCGTCGCATCTGCATTTTTGTGTGAGTGGCCCTGGCCTCTAGATGCCACGTCAGCAGCACTCACAGTTTGTCTATGTGCCACAGCGCAGCCGTCTGCATGTGTGCTGGCTGCTGTGCCCTGCCGAGGGCCAGATGCCCCCCCCCTGTGTCCCCCCCGTCCAGGCAGAAGGAGAAGGCCAACGCCACCACTGCCCCTTGCTGCTGCTCACTGCCCCCCGCTGCTGCTGCTCCAGGGGAGGCTGCTGCTTGGGCTGCTGAGGCCGTGAGGGAGGAGGGGGGCGAGGCGCCAGGCGAGGGCAGCGAGGAGAGCTGACGGATGACGGAGCGCGGGCCCGAGCCAAAGCCCATGAGGCCGTCCACGGAGAAGGGGCTGTTGATGAGCGAGCCGGACTGCAGACGGCCACAGCTGAGGTTGCAGGGTGCATTGGGGTATAGGGGGGCACACAGGGCAGTTGGATAGGTGGGGAGAGGGCGTGAGAGGCGTTGGCACGGCGAAAGAGAAGCACCTGACGAGGGGCGGGCAGCTGCGCGTCACTCACCCAAACACAACCCGTGAGCTCACAACGCCACTCCCCTTCCCTACTGCGCCCTCCACCAATGCCTGGCCGCCACCTGGCACTGACGGCGATGACGTGGCAGCTGCAACTGTCTCATCCCTCGCTGCCACTGCACCCGCCCCCGTTTGAGTCACACTGAGGTTAATCACATCCGTGACCAGAGTCCCCTCCGTGCTGCTGCCATCCCCGTAGCGAATCACATACTGACACGTGTCACTTGGGGAGGGCCAGGAAGAAGCGGGCAGGGGGGAGGAGCTGTTGGAATGGACTGGCAGAGCGCGGGAGATGTTGGGCGCCACGCCGCACCCGATGTTGGGGCGGCCGGAGGGGCAGAGGGGGCTGCTGCAGGTGACAGGCTGCGCTGTGAGGGAGTCCTCAGGGCGGTAGGGGGGGCTCAGGGGCTGCAGGGGGGGACAGGGGGATGGGAGGAGACGAAGGGGAGGAGGGAAACGAGTGTGAGAGGAGACGCAAGGAGGGGAGAAGAGGGCTGCTGCAGGTGACTGACAGGTTGCACTGTGAGAGAGAGAGCTCTCTGGGGGTGTGCTTTTATCTAAACGACGCACAAGAGCAAAGGACGAGGATATTATTGACATTGGTGTTCTTACAACGAGGCTGGAGTCAGTGGCGCACAGGATGCAGTCACACGGCACCCACAGCATGTCACTGCCCGTGTCGAATACGAGTGAGAAGGAGCGGGCGGGAGATGACAGCGACACATTCAGATAGTACAGCCTGGGGCATGCGCGGTGCAGGTGGAAGGGGGGGGGGGGAGGGGAGGGAATGTTGGATAGGAAAGAGTGGCAGAGTCAAACGCAAGTAAGGCGAGGAGAGCGACATGCTCAGATGGTCAGGCATGCAGGATGGGAGGTGGTGTCTGCCGTGGCGGCGACGAGGGCCGTGGGTGGGGTGGGGGGCATCAATCCCGCGAGAATGCAACGGCCCTCAATCAACCCCACCAATGCTGCATTGCTGGCGGGCCACACTCACCCATAGGGAATGGTCCGCCCTCCCAGGTCGAATGCCGCGATGCCGGGCACTGCGCCAGCTGCTGCAGACGTCTGCTGCAAGACGCGGGCAGCTTTCACGGATGGAAGGGCGACACGGGGTGCAGCAGGCGTGCTTGCATCATTGCCTGGAGATAGAGGCGCAAACACTGCGCACATACGAGCCATGTCCCTGTGGCGCTGCCGCGTGTGGTACGTGACATGCTGTGAAGGGGTGGGGGGGACAAGAAAGGATTAGACAGAACAGCGGTACTGGCGAGTAAGGCCACTGCTTTTACTCGCGTGATGAAAAAATGGGTACTTGAGACATTGCCAGTGGATTGATGGGAACACCGGGCTATGTGGACCCAGCTCACTGCAAACCTCACAAGACCACACACACAAGAGCACTCAAATGGCAGAATCTGGCCGTTTGGCACATCCGTCGGTGGAGTGGCCTTGTGCAACTTGCAATAAGATGGATCCACATGGTCAGGTGCTCCCATCCCTCTTGCGCCAATACCTCAAGTGTCTTCCCTTGCTTTCGCCACACCAACTTGGGACAATGGATATGTTTGGTGCTACAGTAACACATGTGGTGGAGATGGTAGTGAAACAACAAGACAACGATCAGATCTCATGATGGAAGGGCCTGCATGCTACAGTTCAAACACTCGGGAGTCCATGCACTCACATCCCCTGCGCACCCATGCACTCACATCCCCTGCGCACCCATGCACTCACATCCCCCGCGCACCCGTGCGCAGCACTATGGTGCACAAGAGCAGCCGTCAGCACAGCATGTCCCTGGTGCTGCTCCCCATTGCCATAGCCATCTGCACCGCCCCCCCTCCCACCATCCGCCTCTCCTTTCCCTCCTCTCCGCCCATCCCCCTCTCTCCTCCCCAGCAACGTCCTCCCCTGGGGCCGCTGCCCCTCCTGCAGCCAGGGAGGCAGCCAGGCGGAGGAAGGGGAGGAGGGCGCGCGGGGAAAGAGGCGGGAGAGGGACTGCGAACAGGAAGGGAGGAGGGTGGATGGGGCAGAGGGCAAGGTGTAGAAGGGTAGGAAAGGAGTGAGTGGCATGAGAATTTGTCAGAGATTCGTGCAGGGAGAGGGGGGGAAAGCGATACAGCTGGCACCAGCTGGCACCACCTTACCGCTGGCAAAAACCTGCGGAAGGCAGCACGACAGCTGGCAACGCATGAGCCAGAGGAGCCGTTTCAGCATCTAGTGTAAGAAACTGTGTCTGCACTCACACGAGGAGTCTGGTGCTGGTGCTGCGGGTTGGAATGGTGCAGTCGATTGGCTTGTTGTGACTCAACGGAGGCTGCAGGGCGGGTAGCCACGAGCAGCAGCAGCATAAGCATGGCGGGGAGCGCACAGGAGACCTCCAGTTGTTGCATCCACGCAGCTGTTGCTGCCGCTCTCCCAAGACCTCTTGCTGGTTCTGGCCCGGACGCTGCCGCTGCTCGTTTTGGGAGCATCCATGGCGGGAGCGGCATTGGCTAGTGGCGAGCGAAAGCACCGCAGATTCGAGATTCAGCGACACTTCGAGGCGTCTCGAGCTGAAAGAGGGGAAGCTGCGAGGCAGAGAGCGTTGCGCGCAGGCAGAGAGCGTTGCGCGCAGCAACCAAAAGTTGCTATCACGACTCTCGCGGCTCTCGCGTGCTGCGTTCGACCATCAAGAAGATGCGACCTCACAGCAGCTAATCACTCAAGCCGTTTCTTCCCTTTACCCAGTTATTGAAGGCGGAGCCTCGGCGAATAGCGCGCGGCAAGAGAGCGCAGGAACGGGAGGGGCGAGTGAGATGCGGCGGAGGCGGAGGTGAAGAGAGAGAAGACGAGCGAGTGAGTGAGCATTGGCGACCGCCCTGATCCTTCGCTCTCCCGTGTTCCCTCCTGCTTCGCTCGCTCCTTGCATGGAGGGCTCACGCGCCTCAACACTCTCCATGTTTCTTCCTTGCCGATTTCGCGGAAGGTGCGCAATCCGACGGCTCGGATCGCGTGTGCGACGCGGGTTGTGTGCGACGCGGGTTGTGTGCGACGAACGGGATCAGTCGCCGACTCCTAGGGGGGAAACCGTGCGGAGGGCTGCTAGTCCCGTCCAGCGATGCGAGACGCATCGCCGATAACCGTACTCGAAAAGAGGCGACGGATTCCATGGCGGGTGGTGGAGATGACGCGGAGGGAAGGGACGCAGCGGATGACGGGACGGGCGCTGCCTGCGGCGCCTCAGAACGACCGCCGCTTTTGGGTTGGGTGATGCTGCTTGACGTGACTTGCAGCCATGGCTGGAATCTGAGGAATTGGGGAGGCAAATGGCAAACGAAGCCCGCCTAAGGCATGGATGACCGGACCGAGCCAATATCGCGGACTTTCGTGACGACAACACGTTGGATGAGAACACCTCCCAGGGCTGTGCTAAATATAATCGGTAACTTCCAATGTTTTTCCTGCACATTTTTGGGTTGCGTAGCAACCCTTTATAATCGGTCGGTGGACCGATTTCGGACGATTTGGTTTAGTCGGCCTAATCACCCGCACTACATATTTTTCCAGGTTTAATACGTCGCTCACTCTAAAAACACTGGTTTTTTTTTTCATCTAAAATTGGTTGTCTATAATCTTAATGTTTACGTTCTCCGATAGAGAATCTCTACGTATCCGTTTGTTTGTTGATTCCTTTTACTGTAACTCAGAAACTTAGCGTCTCAAAAGACCTTTCTAGCTTGCATAAAAAAAAATCTATGTTTTTTCACAATTATTATGTGGTCGATAATGGAGACGACATAATAATTGAGCAACATAGAGTTTTGTAGCAATTTTCTAAGCTTTCTATGAATGATGAGAGGCTCGAATCATTCGCCGTCGATAATTACGGCGGAGAATGACTGAACCACATCACCACCACCATTTTCAAAGCATGTACACAGAACGCATCTTACCCACACACATGTAACGGCTTGGCTCGACACGACAACAATACAACACAACAAAAAGATCACGAATGCAGTAAACGAAAGCATCAATGCGTTCGTGCCACATTATAGATTGACATGCCCGTTATGGGCAACGACAATCGCACATTGTATGATGCACTCGGCATAATCAGCATCGTTTTCCTGCACACACACACAATACACAACGATGTACAACACTTGCTAACAAACAAAAACAGTGCAATAGTGACTGCAAAGGAAGAAATGCATCAATGCTTTTGTGCTACAATAGAGATTGACATGCACGGAATGAGAAGCAATTCCCCAAACCGGCAACGACAATCGCAAATTGTGTGATGCACTAGGCATAGTCAGCATCCTTCCCCTGCAAGCACAACGCAACGCAACACCGTGCAAAACACAAGCCAACAAACTGGTACGCACGTTGTCAACAATGGTACCATGCAAACGCACATACACAAGCAACGCGGCATAAAAAAGCACAACACAACAATGCAAATGCACGCAAGTCAAACACGAAGATATAATGGGTAGCACAAAAACATTACCCAGTCAACTTGAAATATCAATGAATAATGCTGTGACTGGAATTTGAATGAGAAGTCTTGGAACGTGATGACTTGAATTTCGACGACTTGGAATGTTCTTGGAGTGTGACAAACTTGAACGTGATAACATGACTGGAGAGGATAACAAGAGGAGAAAATAAGAGGGAAGAACTTGAGACAGTAGCAGCCAGAGAGAAACTAAAGCGATTAGGTGGGGATGCGAGGGAAAAACAGTACAGCGGAGACGAACGCAAGAAAGACGGACAAGGAGAAGGGAGCAGCAAGTGCAAGAGAGAAGCAACCACTGAAATGAGAAGCAAACGCAAGGTAGAAACAAGTGTAGGGGAAAATCAAATACAGAAAGGAGAAGAAGGAGCAAAGGAGAGCAGCACAGGGAGGGAGAGGGTCAAATAGAGGGAGGAATGAATAGGCGGAGTAAGAATGGAGAGGGGAGACCATAGGGTGGAAGAACGTGAGGAAGAATGGTTAAAAAGAGCTGAGGGGGGAATGGAGGCGAGAAGACAGGAGCGGGAAAGAATGGAGGGGAAGAACAGAGGCAAACAGACAGGGGAAGAATGGATGGAGGAAAAACAAAAAAACAGCACGAGGGAGAGTAATGTATACCTGAGAATGGGCTGCACTTGGGCTTGTAAGAATACAGATTGCAAAGGCAATAAAGCAGAGGGGGGATGAGGTAAGAAGAACGCAAGGGGTAAAGGAAAGCCGGGGGGGTGGGAGAGCGTTGGTGAGGAAGAATGGAAAGGGAACGGCAGAGGGGGGGAGAGCAGAGGGCGGGAGAATGGAGGATGGAAGGACGGAGGGGGGAATGGAGGGGGGAAGACAGAGGGGGGATAAACTGAGGGGGGAACACAGGAATGAGGGAGACAATGAGAGGAAGAACGGAGGTGGAAAGACAAATGGAAGAAGAAGGGAGGGGGGACGACAAAGTTTGAGGAACGGAGGGGGGACGACAAAGGGGAGGAACAGAGGGGGGACGACAAAGGGGGAGGGACGGAGGGGGGATGACAAAACGGGAAAAACAGAGGGGAGATGGCGAACGGGGAGGAAGGAAGGGGGGACAGCAAAGGGGGGAGAACGGAGGGGGGACGAAAAAGGGGGGGGGAACGGAGGGGGGATGGAAAAGAGGGAGGAACATAGAGGGGACAACAAAGGGGGAGGGAAGGAAGGGGGACGACAGGGGAGGAACGGAGAGGGGACGACAAAGGGGGGGGGAACGCAGGGGGGACGGCAAAGGGGGAGGGACGGATGGGGGACGACAAAGGGGGAAGAACAGAGGGAAGACGGCGAAGGGGGAGGAAGGGAAGGGGGGCGGCAAAAGGGGAGGGACGGAGGGGTTACAAAAAAGGGGGAGGAACAGAGGGGGGACAGCAAAGGGGGAGGAACGGAGGGGGGACGGCAAAGGGGGGGGAAAGGAGGGGGACGGCAAAAGGGGGGGGAATGGAAGGGGGACGACAAAGGGGGAGGGACGGAGGGGTTACAGAAAAGGGGGAGGAACGGAGGGGGGACAGCAAAGGGGGAGGAACGGAGAGGGGACAGAAAAGGGGGAGGAACGGAGAGGGGACAGCAAAGGGGGAGGAACGAAGAGGGGACAGCAAAGGGGGAGGAACGGAGGGGGGACAGCAAAGGGGGAGGAACGGAGGGGGGACAGAAAAGGGGGAGGAACGGAGGGGGGACAGCAAAGGGGGAGGAACGGAGGGGGGACAGCAAAGGGGGAGGAACGGAGGGGGGACAGCAAAGGGGGAGGAACGGAGGGGGGACAGAAAAGGGGGAGGAACGGAGGGGGGACAGAAAAGGGGGAGGAACGGAGGGGGGACAGCAAAGGGGGAGGAACGGAGGGGGGACAGCAAAGGGGGAGGAACGGAGGGGGGACAGCAAAGGGGGAGGAACGGAGGGGGGCAGGGGGGGGGGGGGACAGCAAAGGGGGAGGAACGGAGGGGGGACAGCAAAGGGGGAGGAACGGAGGGGGGACAGCAAAGGGGGAGGAACGGAGGGGGGACAGCAAAGGGGGAGGAACGGAGGGGGGACAGCAAAGGGGGAGGAACGGAGGGGGGACAGAAAAGGGGGGGGAACGGAGGGGGGACGGCAAAGGGGGGGGAACGGAGGGGGGACGGCAAAGGGGGAGGAACGGAGGGGGGACGGCAAAGGGGGAGGAACGGAGGGGGTACAGAAAAGGGGGAGAAACGGAGGGGGGACAGCAAAGGGGGAGGAACGGAGGGGGGACAGCAAAGGGGGGGGAACGGAGGGGGGACGGCAATGGGGGAGGGACGGAGGGGGGACGGCAAAGGGGGAAGAACGGAGGGGGGACGGCAAAGGGGGAGGAACGGAGGGGCGACGGCAAAGGGGGAGGAACGAGGGGGGACGGCAAAGGGGGGGGAAAGGAGGGGGGACAGCAAAAGGGGGGGGAACGGAGGGGGGACGACAAAGGGGGAGGGACGGAGGGGGGACAGCAAAGGGGGAGGAACGGAGAGGGGACAGAAAAGGGGGAGGAACGGAGAGGGGACAGAAAAGGGGGAGGAACGGAGAGGGGACAGCAAAGGGGGAGGAACGGAGGGGGGACAGCAAAGGGGGAGGAACGGAGGGGGGACAGCAAAGGCGGAGGAACGGAGGGGGGACAGCAAAGGCGGAGGAACGGAGGGGGGACAGCAATGGGGGAGGAACGGAGGGGGGACAGCAAAGGGGGAGGAACGGAGGGGGGACAGCAAAGGGGAGGAACGGAGGGGGGACAGCAAAGGGGGAGGAACGGAGGGGGGACAGCAAAGGGGGAGGAACGGAGTGGGGACAGCAAAGGGGAGGAACGGAGGGGGGACAGCAAAGGGGGAGGAACGGAGGGGGGACAGCAAAGGGGGAGGAACGGAGGGGGGACAGAAAAGGGGGAGGAACGGAGGGGGGACAGCAAAGGGGGAGGAACGGAGGGGGGACAGCAAAGGGGGAGGAACGGAGGGGGTACAGCAAAGGGGGAGGAACGGAGGGGGGACAGCAAAGGGGGAGGAACGGAGGGGGGACAGAAAAGGGGGGGAACGGAGGGGGGACGGCAAAGGGGGGGGAACGGAGGGGGGACAGCAAAGGGGGGGAACGGAGGGGGACAGCAACGGGGGAGGAACGGAGGGGGGACAGAAAAGGGGGAGGAACGGAGGGGGGACAGCAAAGGGGGAGGAACGGAGGGGGGACAGCAAAGGGGGAGGAACGGAGGGGGGACAGCAAAGGGGGAGGAACGGAGGGGGGACAGCAAAGGGGGAGGAACGGAGGGGGGACAGCAAAGGGGGAGGAACGGAGGGGGGACAGCAAAGGGGGAGGAACGGAGGGGACAGCAAAGGGGGGGAACGGAGGGGGGACAGCAAAGGGGGAGGAACGGAGGGGGGACAGCAAAGGGGGAGGAACGGAGGGGGGACAGCAAAGGGGGAGGAACGGAGTGGGGACAGCAAAGGGGGAGGAACGGAGGGGGACAGCAAAGGGGAGGAACGGAGGGGGGACAGCAAAGGGGGAGGAACGGAGGGGGACAGAAAAGGGGGAGGAACGGAGGGGGGACAGCAAAGGGGGAGGAACGGAGGGGGGACAGCAAAGGGGGAGGAACGGAGGGGGTACAGCAAAGGGGGAGGAACGGAGGGGGGACAGCAAAGGGGGAGGAACGGAGGGGGGACAGAAAAGGGGGGGGAACGGAGGGGGGATGGCAAAGGGGGAGGAACGGAGGGGGGACGGCAAAGGGGGAGGAACGGAGGGGGGACGACAAAGGGGGGGAACGGAGGGGGACGGCAAGGGACGGAGGGGGGACGGCAAAGGGGGAAGAACGGAGGGGGGACGGCAAAGGGGGGGGAACGGAGGGGCGACGGCAAAGGGGGAGGAACGTAGGGGGGACGGCAAAGGGGGAGGAACGGAGGGGGGACAGCAAAGGGGGAGGAACGGAGGGGGGACAGCAAAGGGGGAGGAACGGAGAGGGGACAGAAAAGGGGGAGGAACGGAGAGGGGACAGCAACGGGGGAGGAACGGAGGGGGTACAGCAAAGGGGGAGGAACGGAGGGGGGACAGCTAAGGGGGAGGAACGGAGGGGGGGCAGCAAAGGGGGAGGAACGGAGGGGGACAGCAAAGGGGGAGGAACGGAGGGGGGACAGCAAAGGGGGAGGAACGGAGAGGGGACAGAAAAGGGGAGGAACGGAGAGGGGACAGCAACGGGGGAGGAACGGAGGGGGGACAGCAAAGGGGGAGGAACGGAGGGGGGACAGCAAAGGGGGAGAAACGGAGGGGGGACAGCAAAGGGGAGGAACGGAGGGGGGACGGCAAAGGGGGAGGAACGGAGGGGGGACGGCAAAGGGGAGGAACGGAGGGGGGACGGCAAAGGGGGAGGAACGGAGGGGGGACGGCAAAGGGGGAGGAACGGAGGGGGGACGGCAAAGGGGAGGAACGGAGGGGGGACGGCAAAGGGGGAGGAACGGAGGGGGGACAGCAAAGGGGGAGGAACGGAGGGGGGACAGCAAAGGGGAGGAACGGAGGGGGGACAGCAAAGGGGGAGGAACGGAGGGGGGACAGCAAAGGGGGAGGAACGGAGGGGGGACAGCAAAGAGGGAGGAACGGAGGGGGGACAGCAAAGGGGGAGGAACGGAGGGGGGACAGCAAAGAGGGAGGAACGGAGGGGGACAGCAAAGGGGGAGGAACGGAGGGGGGACAGCAAAAGGGGGGGAATGGAGGGGGGACGACAAAGGGGGGGGAACGGAGGGGGGACGACAAAGGGGGGGAACGGAGGGGGACGACAAAGGGGGGGAACGGAGGGGGGACGAATGGTGGAGGGACGGAGGGGGGACGACAAAGGGGGAGAACGGAGGGGGGACGGCAAAGGGGGGGGAAGGGAGGGGCGACGGCAAAGGGGGAGGAACGGAGGGGGGACGGCAAAGGGGGAGGAACGAGGGGGGACGGCAAAGGGGGGGGAATGGAGGGGGACGACAAAAAGAGGGGGAACGGAGGGGGGACGACAAAGGGGGGGAACGGAGGGGGGACGACAAAGGGGGGGGAACGGAGGGGGACGAATGGTGGAGGACGGAGGGGGGACGACAAAGGGGGGAGAACGGAGGGGGGACGGCAAAGGGGGGGGAACGGAGGGGCGACGGCAAAGGGGGAGGAACGGAGGGGCGACGGCAAAGGGGGAGGAACGAGGGGGGACGGCAAAGGGGGGGAAAGGAGGGGGGACAGCAAAAGGGGGGGAACGGAGGGGGGACGACAAAGGGGGAGGGACGGAGGGGGGACAGCAAAGGGGGAGGAACGGAGAGGGGACAGAAAAGGGGGAGGAACGGAGAGGGGACAGAAAAGGGGGAGGAACGGAGAGGGGACAGCAAAGGGGGAGGAACGGAGGGGGGACAGCAAAGGGGGAGGAACGGAGGGGGGACAGCAAAGGCGGAGGAACGGAGGGGGGACAGCAAAGGCGGAGGAACGGAGGGGGACAGCAATGGGGGAGGAACGGAGGGGGGACAGCAAAGGGGGAGGAACGGAGGGGGGACAGCAAAGGGGGAGGAACGGAGGGGGACAGCAAAGGGGGAGGAACGGAGGGGGACAGCAAAGGGGGAGGAACGGAGGGGGACAGCAAAGGGGAGGAACGGAGGGGGACAGCAAAGGGGGAGGAACGGAGGGGGGACAGCAAAGGGGGAGGAACGGAGGGGGGACAGAAAAGGGGAGGAACGGAGGGGGGACAGCAAAGGGGGAGGAACGGAGGGGGGACAGCAAAGGGGGAGGAACGGAGGGGGTACAGCAAAGGGGGAGGAACGGAGGGGGGACAGCAAAGGGGGAGGAACGGAGGGGGGACAGAAAAGGGGGGGAACGGAGGGGGGACGGCAAAGGGGGGGAACGGAGGGGGGACAGCAAAGGGGGGGAACGGAGGGGGGACAGCAACGGGGGAGGAACGGAGGGGGGACAGAAAAGGGGGAGGAACGGAGGGGGGACAGCAAAGGGGGAGGAACGGAGGGGGGACAGCAAAGGGGGAGGAACGGAGGGGGGACAGCAAAGGGGGAGGAACGGAGGGGGGACAGCAAAGGGGGAGGAACGGAGGGGGGACAGCAAAGGGGGAGGAACGGAGGGGGACAGCAAAGGGGAGGAACGGAGGGGGACAGCAAAGGGGGGGAACGGAGGGGGGACAGCAAAGGGGGAGGAACGGAGGGGGGACAGCAAAGGGGGAGGAACGGAGGGGGGACAGCAAAGGGGGAGGAACGGAGTGGGGACAGCAAAGGGGGAGGAACGGAGGGGGGACAGCAAAGGGGGAGGAACGGAGGGGGGACAGCAAAGGGGGAGGAACGGAGGGGGGACAGAAAAGGGGGAGGAACGGAGGGGGACAGCAAAGGGGGAGGAACGGAGGGGGGACAGCAAAGGGGGAGGAACGGAGGGGGTACAGCAAAGGGGGAGGAACGGAGGGGGGACAGCAAAGGGGGAGGAACGGAGGGGGGACAGAAAAGGGGGGGGAACGGAGGGGGGATGGCAAAGGGGAGGAACGGAGGGGGACGGCAAAGGGGGAGGAACGGAGGGGGGACGACAAAGGGGGGGAACGGAGGGGGACGGCAAGGGACGGAGGGGGACGGCAAAGGGGAAGAACGGAGGGGGGACGGCAAAGGGGGGGGAACGGAGGGGCGACGGCAAAGGGGGAGGAACGGAGGGGGGACGGCAAAGGGGGAGGAACGGAGGGGGGACAGCAAAGGGGAGGAACGGAGGGGGGACAGCAAAGGGGGAGGAACGGAGAGGGGACAGAAAAGGGGGAGGAACGGAGAGGGGACAGCAACGGGGGAGGAACGGAGGGGTACAGCAAAGGGGGAGGAACGGAGGGGGACAGCTAAGGGGGAGGAACGGAGGGGGGCAGCAAAGGGGGAGGAACGGAGGGGGACAGCAAAGGGGGAGGAACGGAGGGGGGACAGCAAAGGGGGAGGAACGGAGGGGGGACAGCAAAGGGGGAGGAACGGAGGGGGGACAGCAAAGGGGGAGGAACGGAGGGGGGACAGCAAAGGGGGAGGAACGGAGGGGGGACAGCAAAGGGGGAGAACGGAGGGGGGACAGCAAAGGGGGAGAACGGAGGGGGGACAGCAAAGGGGGAGGAACGGAGGGGGACGGCAAAGGGGGAGGAACGGAGGGGGACGGCAAAGGGGGAGGAACGGAGGGGGACGGCAAAGGGGGAGGAACGGAGGGGGGACGGCAAAGGGGGAGGAACGGAGGGGGACAGCAAAGGGGGAGGAACGGAGGGGGGACAGCAAAGGGGAGGAACGGAGGGGGGACAGCAAAGGGGGAGGAACGGAGGGGGGACAGCAAAGGGGGAGGAACGGAGGGGGGACAGCAAAGGGGAGGAACGGAGGGGGGACAGCAAAGGGGGAGGAACGGAGGGGGGACAGCAAAGGGGGAGGAACGGAGGGGGGACAGCAAAGAGGGAGGAACGGAGGGGGGACAGCAAAGGGGGAGGAACGGAGGGGGGACATCAAAGGGGGGGAACGGAGGGGGGACGACAAAGGGGGGGGAACGGAGGGGGGACGACAAAGGGGGGGAACGGAGGGGGGACGAATGGTGGAGGGACGGAGGGGGGACGACAAAGGGGGGAGAACGGAGGGGGGACGGCAAAGGGGGGGGAACGGAGGGGCGACGGCAAAGGGGGAGGAACGGAGGGGGACGGCAAAGGGGGAGGAACGAGGGGGGACGGCAAAGGGGGGGGAATGGAGGGGGGACGACAAAAAGAGGGGGAACGGAGGGGGGATGACAAAGGGGGGGGAACGGAAGTGGGACGGCAAAAGGGGGAGGGACGAAGGGGGGACGACAAAAGGGGGAGGGGCGGAGGGGGGACGACAAAGGGGGAGGAATGGAGGGGACTAGAGCTTACCTGCAGTGTTGTCGCACGTACACTTCATTCCACGACGTTTTGCACAGCGCCATGACCCCAAAGACATGGCGTCAGCGCGCGCGAGGCGTCAACGTGCACCGCGCCAGCGCGGACCACGCTGGCGTGCAAGGCGTCTGCGCGCACCGCGCCTGCGCGAAACGCGTCAGCGCGCACGGCGCCAGCGCGAAACGCACCAGCGCGCAAGGCGCCTGCGCGCACGGCGCCAGCGCGAAACGCGCCTGCGCGCACGGCGCCAGCGCGCAAGGCGCCCGCGCACACGGCGCCAGCGCGTAACGCGCCAGCGCGCCAGGCGCCAGCGCGATACGGACCAGCGCGAAACGCGCCAGCGCGAGACGCGCCAGCGCGAAATGCGCCAGTTTCGAGCTAGGACTAGGTATGAGCAAGGAACTATGTGTGAGCAAGGACTACGGTGGGTGGGAGCAAGGACTAGGTGTGAGCAAGTACTAGGCGTGAGCAGGGAGGGACTACCTCTATGAGCAAGAACAAGGCACGAACGAAAGAGCAAGGAGGAAGGATGAGCAGAAACAAGAAGCACCAACTAACCCTAGCAGGGGTGTATTCACTCTGCCCCAGAAAGCTAACCGAGTACAGGTCAGCACAGTTACTCGCTATGCCATTCTCTACTTTTAAACAGGTCAGCACAGTTACTACTCCAATACAGCAATACAGAACTTATTTTATATAAAACTATATTATTGCTATAGTTCGTAGTATTAAACGTTTAAAATATATTCACTTACAGAATCACTTTTCTAGTATTGACTCACAAACTTTTCTATTGCACAGTCCCAGTGAAATTTAAAAAAAAAAAAGGGGGGGGGGGGGGGGGGAGGAGGGGGAAATGCGAATTCAAATTGTGAGAGAAGAAATGTGGACGTACGCAACCCATCCGACGATTTACGTCGAGCCTTGTTTTTTTTTTTTTTTTGGATATATGCGCCATAAACGGGTGGTGGTTCTTCGTATATCCATGTATCATACATATTGTGTGTTACTAAACCAAGTAGGCAGTTCTTTATTACTCCGCTACCCCTGCCGCTTCCCTTGCTGCTGCTCCTGCTTCTAGCGCCCCTGCTGCTGCCATGGCTGCAGCATCCTCTTAGTATGGGAAGGAGATTATAGGGAGGGGGAATTTGTTGTGACAGGGGAATACTACTGAATCAGAAATTGAAGAGGGGAGAAACGAAGGGGAGACAAGAGGGGGATGGGGCGCGGAAGGCAATCAATCAGTTAGAAAAGAGAAGCCAACAGGGGGTGGAAGAGGAGTGAAGAGGAAAGGAGTGGCCATAACCTTCGTGACATGAGCCACAGCACATGAGCCACACCTGCCAGGTCGTCCTCCCCGTGGCGGGCAACGAGCAGATAGTAGAGCAGTGCAGCAACCATGGCTGCCCCCCCCGCGCACCCGATCACAATCCCTGCGATTTCTCCCCCCTGAAAGAGATGCCGACAGAGCTGCGATGAGCAGAGGAGGAGGTGGGGGGCGGAGGGGGGAGGAGGGGGCACGTGAGAGGTTTGTGAAATGTCCTTGCTCACACCATGCAGCCAGCACAGCCTCCAGTTACGCCTGAGTCGTTGCATTGGTTGAGATTTCTCTGATTTTCTGAAAAAAACAAACCCTTGGCCGCAGGCACGGCTGGCCTGCAGCTCTACTACAAGTCCGCTTTAAACCTATGACCATATGGCGTAACCACAGCACGGGAACGGATGGCGCGGGAGCAGCGGCATGAAGGTAGAGTGAGCTGTACTGCTTGAGCGCCTCTCGCCGCCACACATCCTCCTCATAGTCCTCCACGTACTCCTCACTCTCGTCATCTCCGCCACTCGCTCGGCTCCCCCCTCATCCTCCTCCTCTTCCTCCTCCTCCCCCCCCCTCCCCCTCTCCTTGCGCTGCTAGTGGCAAAATCCCCGCCAGCCGAAGCGATGCCCCTGGTGTGCCCTCTGCACCAGTGAGCCGCACGCGGAGTCTAGGGGGGAAGAGGAGCCCTTGTAAGCACCGACGCACTTTAATATAGGCACATTCGATACAGTGAAGGTCGCCTCATCCGCGTGTGGCACGACGTCCTCGCCTTGCACGCTCCGCCACGGGCTCTCCCACACGAAGCGGGAGATCTTTCCGTGGATGAAGTGGTACGTCATGACTTGATGGAGAGTCGTGACATTGGACGGATTCTGTAAGCTGGCGAAAAGCGCGGGGCGGTAGCCTGATGAGAGATTTGTTGGAGGGGGCGAAAACCATGAATGGCGCACTATCAAGCAGCCCCACATCAGCACCCATGCCTTGTGCTGCAATGATGTTTGACGCGCCTCAACAGCAGCCCCACATGAGTGAAGAGTCGAGCATACCTTGGCCATGAGACATTGAGTGCTGAGGTGGTGTATGCGCAGGTAGCGGTCCAAGCCTAGTTGAGGGGTTGGGGAACCAAGGCATACGAGAGAGACATCAGATAGACATGTGATAACAGGTTGAGGTGGTGTATGCAGAGGTGGCGGCCCAGGCCTGTTGCAAGGGGGGGTTGAAATAACCAAGCAGAGAGGGAAAAAGAGCAGTGGGGAGAGGGTTTACAATTCAGGTGAATGTGGGGATGGTCCACCGGGGGATAACGGTATGAGGCTAGTGGTGTGAGTGTACAGAGGGTAGAGGGGCATGTGGTGCGTAAGTCAGCTGCAAGGAGGGCTATGGGATGGTGGGGGGGCAGGGAGAGAGGGAGCAAATGGGAATACAATATGTAGAATGTGGGTAGTACATACATAACAGAAGATGCCACAAGAGGCAGTGATGGGTGCCTCATGAGGGAACAAATAGAGCCCGCACACTCCCCCGTGGCCCAAATTGTTCAAACGCACTGCGTATTAACTTTGGCACTGGGGCTGTACGAAATACGTTGGGAAATCGCGAGGGTGGCTAGTCTTGCAGATTGCATGCTGGTCGTGGACCATCAGATTTGCAAACAGACAGCTTGACGGATGAGATTACATTTCGACTGACTGGGGGAAGTGCTTGGCTTATGCGCTGTTAGATGGAAATCTGCAAAAATTGGACGGTTGAAAAATGCACAACACCTCGTCTTCCAAAATACCTTCCGCACTGAACTTGAACAGCACCCCTGAGTGACGAGAGTCTCGTTACCCCCCAATACACCCACGGAAACACAACTTTCAAACGCACTGCGTTTGAAGGCCGCGATTCGCAATTTGGGCCGCGGGTTAAGGGCCACGACAATGCGGCCTTTGTGGGTTCATCAAGAAGTAATAATACGGCAATGGGACCTCTATGGGTTCACTATCGGATGTTGTAATATTGTGGTTGATAACATTCTAGAAGGATGTGCTAGAGTGTATATTACGATACGCTCATATGCAATACGCGATATTTGACTTTTAGACCATTCACAGTTAAAGGGCTGTAAGGTGTCAGCTAGACAGATCATAACCATTCAAGGCGTTTCCAAAGTGGCTTTGGGTCACATTGTGACTAACAAGACACCTAACAAAATACTTCATACACGACCATTTCATACATGCGAAACGAAACTGCGAATCTATGTCTGTTGTGACGGAAACAAATTATGCGACTGGATTTGTGAGTGGATCCTACATAGTTTAGGGAAAAAAACACACATCTCTGGGGGAAATTGGAAGTTTGTGCATGGCAGCTCTAAAAAATCTATAGATTGGACAAAATGCCATATTTTTAACATTATGGATTTCGTTACCGTATCCACCCAGATATGCGCCCCGCCGGGGGACAGAACAAAAGGTTTTTTGATCAAATAATGGGGCTTTTGCGCATTGTTCGATTATAGGACCCACCCTATTCTGTATTTGTTCGCCATACAAGCCACTGTTGCTTATAACCACGCAATACCGTGCTTTCCGATTCTTAGTTAATTTCAGGTACATCAGACGTTAGGAAACCTACCTACAACTCCTAACTCTACGTTTCTCTACCACATGATCCACGTTACAATCCTAAGCCTAACCAAAGAGCTGACAAGGGTGGCACAGTTCTAGAGCATGCACTAACTGCAGCTCATGCTGAGTATTCATTTCATGCAGGCTACCGCACAGTCCACTTCTATAGCCTAGTCTCAACTAGTCTCACTGTCAGTCCTCCACACCGTCATCCTCCTTGTCGTCCTCACTACTGCAGTCGTCGTCGCCAATGTCCTTGCCTTCTCCCTTATCGCCCATGTATACACCAGCGCCGTCCTTTTCCATCTCGCCCGTAGGTCCGCCGCCTCTCGCCCGCATTTCAGCAGCTCCCGTGTTGTCACCGGCAAAGCCAGTCGCGGTGTCGTTATCGGTGATGTCGACTTCAGCCTCACACGTCATCGCGCATGTGCTTTAGCACTTCAGCATTCTTGGAGCCGTCACGTGTACTGGAGATCCCGCACGTTTTAATCGCCTTTATGATGAGAGAGCTCGGGATCGCCTTCCAAGCTTGGAAGCACCACTTCAAGGTCTCCTCCAGGGGGGGTTTTCCTCAGGTTCCCTGCATTGGGAGGGACGGAAAGTTGGCAACTGATGTCAGTAAGGCTCGAAAACACAGTGCAGAGGATGGTGGCAAACAGGTAAATGATACTCACCCTTGGGGGCGGTGAGGTTGATGCTGATCTCGTCAAACCACCCCTCGTATTCGCCACGGAAGTGTGCCTAAAAGCTCTTGTTGACGCACACGTACAGTGGTTGGACGAGACTCGTGCAGCCTGATGGGGATGATTCCTTGCTCCCACAGCTCCGCCATCACGCGGTCCATGATGTGGCCTTTGTAACTGTCTTCATTTTAGGATGGTAGTCTTCGCTCATCGGCCAAAGGTGGGCTTCAAGAAGTGCTTGACCTCCTCCCGCAGCCATGTGAGTTTGCCCTCCTCGTCCATCCAACCGTTCTTCTGTGGGCGCACCACAACATCTGCGCGCACCACAACATCTGCATCAGAGTCAAACGAATCAGTGTTATTAGCAGATGCGAAGTAAACAAGGCACGCAGCCGGGA